AAAAAAAAGAAAATCAGGTGGTGACACCAGCCAGGGTCTGAGTTGATGTCCGTGGTTCCCGTTACCATGGAGAATCATGTGGATACCAAGGTCTGATCAGCCACCTGAGGTCATGCTGGTGTCCTAGAATCATTCTGCTGCCGGGGCCATACTGATCTGGGTGGCCAGCACTACCACCAGGGCCATGGTGACAACCTGGCCTGAGCTGCAGCCAAGGGCCATATGTAGGCCTGTGGGACTGCTGCAGCTGAGGTCTGTATTGATGTCTGTAGCCCATGTTACCACAGGAGACCATAGGAACCATGTGTGTTGAAATCTGAAGGCTGTACTGAGCCAGCATTGCCCTTCGATGGCCCTGGAAAAGCTGACCCTGTCCCTCACTGGCCACTGCAGCTGAAAAGTTGTCCCCACCCCTCACCACAAGGATAGGAGAGCTAGCCTTGATGGCTTGGGTGTAGAAGAGCTGGCTCTGCCTCTCGCCTGAGTGGGAAGGCAGTCACAGTGGCCAGAATGACCAAATCAGCTACACCCAGACCCACATCCGGGGCTTTGAGTTGGCACACCCCAACATCTACCCCATCTATGACTATGGCCTGTGGGAGCACACGAAGGGACTGGCCCTGTGGAACTACAGTCACGGGATCTCCATCACTCAGGGAAACAGCAGGATATCCGAGAAGAGTTTTGGGGACGTCCAGCACTGACGGTGTACCAGAAGCCAAAGGTCTTGAACCTGACCAACCATACATTACAGTGAACTCAGCAAGTAAAGCTGAGTGTCCAGGGGTTGTCCTGTGTGACACACTGCAGCTTCCAATGACACGGGGACAGTGAAGAGGTGTGGAAGAGGCAGTAAAGATGGAGGAGCAAAGTGTGCTTTTTGTTTGTTGTTTGCTTGCTTGCTTGCTTGCTTTGTTTTGTTTCTAATTAGTTTAATTTTCTTTTGGGGGGACACTACGGGGTAAGGAGCAGATATGGAGGGACTGGGGTGCATGATATGAAATTCCCAAAGAATCAACTGAAAGAAATTACACTTAAAAGAAATAATGAAATGGTAAATTGTTAAGGATAGTATCTAAGATTGACTTCTACCTGCTATCACACAAATGTTAATGTACCCACACACTCAAACATGTGTGCACACATGTATACGCACATGCACACACAAATGCACACACACATAAACACACACATAAACACACACATGCACAAAGCAAATTTGACCTCCCATTAACTCTCTAAGTTTATGTGACTTAAGTATAAGAATAGAGGTTTCTCTCTATGAGAACCTGCCTTGTGTTTCCTAGGATGACATCCCATGCCCATATACTCATATGGCTTCGAGTATATAGCCTGCTTTCTGCAATAACACTGCTCCTACTGAATATACCCACTCCTGGACAAAGCTCTCTCTCACCTTGTAGAAACTCAGTGAATATCTTGGAAGGGAAAGAAGTTCAAACGCATGTCAGTTTTGTGGCCTTGCCGCCACTCATCAATCACATACCTATTTTTAATAAAACCTGAGGGTAACAAAATTATAGGAATAATAATGGAAGATGAAATTCAATCCTGCCTGTGTCTTGCTTAACTAATGAGAATTTTCATCCAGTGCTTTGCTCCAATAATATTAAAATATCACAATCAGGCTTCCATAATTGGATTTACTGGGCTAGGAGAATTGTACTGCTATTTAAATCCTCTAATCCAAAGCCATCAGAAGAATACACCTTCCAATCCATGCTGACAGTGGGTCACCACTAATATCCCTGAACTATGATCTTCCTTCAAATCATCAAATCTCCACAAGTATTTTAATAAAAAAAAAAAACTCTTAAATTCACATGATAAAAAAAAAAGAACAAACCTCCAATTGGCCCCAGAAGGAAAAATGAAAGCTTTTCAGGGTCGAATATATTCAAGGACTAATAATAAATTCATAGACATTCTGGTTTTCAGCGAATAGCCTATTGAATGCTTCCTAAAGCGAAGTCTCTAAATTCTGCTTGAGAGATGAGTCTAAGTTCTGTTTCTCTCTTGAGGATGTGAAATGAGTGAAGGCAAAAGCATCTCCAGCAGTCCCTAAGGCCTGGAGCATTCGTAACTAAACACCGCCTTCTCTCCTCGGGTTCTGTTTCCAGACAACCTCCCCTGTGGGACAGAGGAGCAGCAGGCACACAGCTGAGTCACCTCCCCAAGACAACCTGGGACAAAAAAGCCGAGACCACCAGGCCAGAAGCTGCCTGGGGAGGTGTGCCCACATAGATAGATCATCACACAGACACTGACCCTACTCAGTCACCCCTGGGTATTAACAGGGCTCTTAAGTCACTCTGATAGTGGTCTGTGTGGCTGCCACCCTTCCACTGGCTCAGGAAGGAGCTCTTTTGGCTTCATGTAACCAACCTTGCCCGGGGTGGCTGAAGAAAGAGGTTCCCACTGCAGGCAGGAAGGAAAAAACAGCCGGATTGAAGGCCTGAGATCTTACACATCCTAATCTGTAGTAATAAGTGTGGCGGGACTGCATCCCCAGCACCCAGGCCGCCTGGCTAGCTTATGCCCGAAATAACAACACACAAACTGTATTCTTTTAAACACTGCTTGGCCCATTTCTATCTAGCCTCTTCTAGGCTAATTCTAACATATTAATTTAGCCCATTTTTTATCATCTACGTAGCACCGCTAGGTGCGCTTACTGGGAAGATTCTAGCCTACATCCATCCTGGGTCGGAGCTTCGTTGTGTATGCCCAGGAGAGAGAAGCAGGGCCTCTGCTCCAGAGAGCAGAGCTGTCGAGTCTGAGCTCACTTCCTCTTCCTCCCAGCATCCTGTTCTATTTACTCCTCCCACCTATGTTTTAACCTATCAGGGCAAGCAGTTTCTTTATTTAATTAACCAATGACCTTCCTCCATCACTAATTTTAGCCTGGTCTCGCTCCCTTTCCGTGCTATGAATGACAAACCATAGTGCTGAATCACTGAAGAACAGAGGAAGGGAGAGCCAACAGTTCTGCAGGGTGCAGGGGAACAGTTTGACACAACCGTAATAGCAGTGTGTGTTTACTGTAGGGAGGCTTTGCCTGAGGGCAGTGTAGCCAGAAGGCCCACTGCTCACATTTCCAGTAGCATCCTGTGCAAATAAATCATCACAGTGTTAAAGATGCATGTAGGAAGATGTCCAGAGCGTCATTTATTATTCATAAGCTTATGCCAAGAGCCACCTAGATGTCCATCACTAGGCAGACCCTATAGCCTGGAGACAGCCGTGGAGTAGAGCCCTCTGCGCTAGTCAAACTCGCTGAGAGAAGGGTAGTAGTAACCTCTGGGATCAGGTGGGCCCTGCTCTGTGGGCTTCCATTCTGGGCTCACTTACTCTCCATCACTCTCCTGTCTTGGTTTTGAGTTTTAGTTTCTTTGTTTCCAAAGACAGGATCTCAGTATCTAACCCTGGCTGGTCTTTAGGCCACTCTGAATTCCAATCTGGCCTTGTCCTTGTAATGTTCCTACTCCACCTCCCAAATACTGGCATTGCAGGTATATAGGCACAAAGACACACGGCCTGTGAGAAAATGGGGCTTTCGCATTCATTTTACAGGTGGGGAAAGCGTGAACAAGGAAGTTCCTAACTCTCCTGAGTCAGTGACTACTTTAAAAAAAAAAAAAGAAAAGAAAAAGAAAAAGAATCTCATGAAGACAAAGGCTGACATCAAACTCACTGTCCAGCTTCAGCTTCTGATCCTCCTGGCCTGCACTAAGGTGCTGATCCTCCAGACAGACACCGCCATACCCGGCTCATCACAAACCCAGAGTCTGTGCTGGCAGCAAAGTCACTCCCCCTACCAAATGAGCTGCAAACCCACCCAAGAGGCAGCAACAACTACTGCATCACAGCTCCAAGAACTGAGCTCAAGCCATGTTCCAAAGTCATTCTCCTGACCACTACTACAATCGGCCCCATCAGAAAAAACAACTGGGATACCCTGTATGGCGTGGTCCTGCTTTGTAAACGATGCCTGAGTTGATGATAGAGTGACAAAAAAAATCTGTGATAGCACACACCAAAACGATGTGTGCATTTTTTCCTAGATGATAGAATTTGGCATGGTTCTTGCCTTTAACTCTGCATTTGTCAATATTGTGTAAATTTCGTGAAGAGTGTTAAGGCTTATAAAATACTTGGGAAATGGTTACATCAACATGGAAATTTAAAAGGGCACAAGAAGCCTGGGCCAGGAATTGAACAGGAAGGGAACGAGACATAAACTGGGGTGAGGGATTTACGGCATGAGGGAAACTTACAGACGTGCCAGAGGTAGGCTCCTCCACCAGGGTGTCCCTGTGTCCTGAGTAGAATCGCCAGCTGCTTTAATTCATTGAAAGCTGCTTTACCCCAAGGGCTGCCTGGAGAGACAGAGGATGAAAGGCAGTGTGGAGCTCACCCTCAGAGTCCATCACAAAGCAAAGGCAGAGGCCTGTCAGTTCAGAAGGGGGATCATCCCTGCTAGAGGAGGATGGGAACATTGGGGCCAAACCTCGCTGGGCACAGCAGGTGCGATCAAAGGACACAGGATGAAAGGCAGGTCCAAATGGGAGAGGAAGCTCTTGCCAAATCAAGGAAGAGGAAAGCCTCGGGTGGGTATGAAGCGCGGGTAAGCATGGAGTTCAGGCGCGATGGAGCCATGAACTCAAGACCCTGACACAGTTTCTCTTCTTAAAATATCCAAGGAACTCCACCTGTGTGGGTCACCACTTTCCTGAGCTAGGACGAGGGATGTCCCAGGGAGAGAAAACTGGCTTACTTGAAGCCAAACAGACTCCCCTGAAACAAGGAGTCCATACTGAAGACCTCCAGAAATGCCTATCCATAAGAAAAATGTCAGAAATGGCACACACACACACAAAAAAAAAATTCTCCAGGCATAAGTGCTGTTCCTTGGATATCTAGAATAGAAAGTACCCTTGGGTACCTCAGTCCTCAGGAATTCCTGGGACCTGAGACGGTCAATGACTAATTTCAGGAGAGCCATCAAAAAAAGCATGCAGGAACAAAACCATGAACTAGTTTGTATAATCCAACTCTCTTCTCATAGCCTCCTCTGTCCACAAAAGGCAGCACAGGGATCTTAGACGGGGTATACCTTGACTTTTACTAACTCTAACTGAAAATGAGTGATTCCATTAAAACAGGCTTGCTGTAGTATTAACAATATGGCACCTGCAACAATAGACATTCTAGATAAACCCCAGCTCATAAGGGTTGCTGCAGGCTCCACGAAACACCAATCAGGCTCATAATTATTCTGAATTCACAGCCATCACATACCTACTCCTAAGTCTTCTATAATGACTTCATAAAGAAGCACAAATATTGCTCAATCATAAATTGGTTTTAGTATTTTGATGAATGCGTTTCAATAGGTTGGGAGTCCTTTATATCCTGTGGCGTTTCTGTTTTGCATCTTGTTTTGCATTTTAAAACACGGTTCCAAAGAATGATCCGTCACTTCTCTGATGGCCCTCCTTGACTTATTTTACTCATTAATATTTGTCAGTCCTTAGAAATCGGGCTGCCTAGGTGCTCAATAAGTAAAGGGGCCTGAAGCCAAACCTAAAACCGTGAATTTGAGTCCTAGAACCCATGTTGTGGAAAAAAAAAAAAAACAATTCTCACAAGCCCTCTGATCTCCACATGCAAGCCATGGCACACATGTATGGGTGTGTGTCAAATGCACACGCGCAAGCACACACACACACACACACATACACACATACACTAAATAACTAAAAATGCAATGAAACAAAAATTACAATCTATATACGTACACTAAGAAACACGTGCTTTCTACTTATTTATCTTGTTCATTAGAATTCTTAGTCTCCTGTAGACATCACAACACAGCAGGTGCCTGTACTCCCATCTGAAACACAATAGGTTCTTAAAAATTATTTGCTGAATCAATTGACAAAAATTTTTGGTGAACTGGCACTTTTCACACAGCTTGGTCATAAGCTACTGCCATTCCATGCTAAGTTTTAAAGTTCTCTTGCCTCTTAAGTTAAATGAGAGAAAAGAAGAAAAAAAATCACCACCAATGTGCTTTTCAAATTATGGTCACAACTTCAAATAGAAAAACAGCTTATTTATCAGGTACTGCAGGTGGAAAACACATTTTCCCTACATCAAAGGCAAGTCAACTGTAATGCACACACACATATACACACATACACACAAACACACATAGACACACATACATACACACAAACATACACATACACATGCATCATTGAATCAAGTGTATTGTCAAACAAATTCAAACAAGTTAAAAAAAATCAGTAATAGGAAATAAAGCCAATAAAAACACACTTGGCATTTTGTAGCGAAATTGGTTGACAAAATCATCACACAGAATCTACCTGGCACATCATAAATGAAAACAAGCGGTGTTTAGATTCGCAGAGCTGGTAATAAACCATCACCACGTGCTCACGGATTCATATAAATTCATAGTCACCACAGTGAACTAGAGATGCCATGGGAAGATCTAAGCCAGCAGCATGGGAACACAAAAGCACCTCATCCCATCTGTCTCCAGAATGGTTTTGTTTTAATAGTAAAAAAGAAAAGAAAGGGAAAAAAAAACACTTCTTTTGGAATTCTCCACTAAACTTTGCTAGGTCTGGACTCCTCCGATTTTCTTAGAAAACATAGCCAAGGGCTTCGGGTGTGACTCAATGATGGCGTGTTGGCCAAGCACTCACAAGGACCTAGGTTCAGTCCTCTGGACTACCATACTCCCAAAAATTGTTACTCAAGGACAAATAAAGTACTAGATGACATCAGTCACAGACCTGCTGATGAAGATGTTCTCAGGTCCTTCAGATATGAAACACACACACACTGAAACCTCCCAGCAATACACCTGTGTAGATGTGTGTCTATATGGGTGCACCTATGTGGTCAGAGGCAAACTTTGGGTATCTTCTTCAGTAACTGCCCATCCTGTGTTTTGTGACAGGGTCTCTTATCAAACAAGGAACTCAACAATTCAGCTAGGCCTGTTGGTGAGGGAGCCCCAGAATCTGCCTATGTCTACCTCCCAGAGCTGCGATTATGTGTGTGCACCACTGTGCCCTTCTTTTTATCTAGGATTCTGGAGTTTGAGCCTCCATTTGCATACTTGCTCAGCGAACACCTTCCCGACTAAGCCATGCCCGTAGCTCTGCAACACAGCTTTCTGAAGTCATTTTCTATACTCAACCTTCACTCTTCTCCTGCGACGCCATGCAGGTTTTTGCTGAGGGCGTCTCCAAGCAGCCAAACCCCAAAGCTGCTTCCCAGTCAGCATGGTTAACAGGACAGTGGCATCCGTCACTCTGGAACTCCCTAGGCCCTGCCATTGCCTAACACTAACACCATTCTTAACTGTCCCTCCCTCTTCTCTAATGACATTTATAAGTCCCTAGGAAATTCTACCTCCTATGCTCAAACTTTAAATTTAAGGCCACAAATTAAATACCTCCAGGGACCAAGAAGATGCCCAAGATAAGAGGAGGAGGCTCCCTCACCACTATGAGAAGCAGGCTGAGCTCACTCTAGCTCACTACTGTCTCTCACCCATGGGTCTCAGGAAGCCACATCGTCCAATTTGTCAGGAACACTCACAGATCTTATTTTTACAATTTTTTTAAACATTTGAAACTATTGCTGCTCATGCTTTAAGATCATGAGCCAAAACAAAGATATTCATGGCCTGGAAACAACTCCTAGGCCAGTACATGGTCTTCTCTATACCCTAGTCATTCCTAATGACCCCGTTCTGTACCTCGTCTTCTTCTCCGTGGCCACTTTTGTCTAACCTGCATCTAAAGACAGTGTTACAGAGTTGATTTGCAGCCTCTGGATTCTCTCTCTCTCCTTCCCTCCTTCCTTCCCTCCCTCCCTCTCTCTTTCTCTCTCCCTCCCTCCCTCCCTCTCTCCCTCTCTCTTTTTCTCTCTCTCTCTCCCTCCCTCCCTCTCTCCCTCCTCTCTTTTTTTCCTCTCTCCCCTCTCTCTCTTTTTTTCTTCCTCCCTCTCTCCCCTTCTCTTGCCTCCCCACTCCCTCCCACACAACACACACACATTCTGGGCCTCTAACCTACCCCTACTGGACTTCTCTATCTGAATAACCACCTGGGGCCTTAAACACATCTCAGTCTTCCATTCATTCTCTGCTTCCACCGCAGCTGAATCGCAAGTTAGACATTCCGAATTCATGTAGGCCAGAGGCAGGTATTCCCCTTACCACCCACACCAGTGACACCAAGCCAATACCAAGGATAAGCGCAGCCATGTTCTCTCACACCTACACCTTTCTCTGGCCCTCCCTCAAATATCCTGTGTCTTTCTACTTGTTGACCACAGTAGACTTTGACCGTGTCCCTTGCTTTCTACCCATCTTCATTCCTCGCCCCCAAATTGAAACCGGGGTTGGATTTTGTTACACCCACACACAGTAGGCTCTTCAGCCTCCAGGACAAGTACTAGATACAGAATGCTTAAGGGAAAATGCAGCTTCCCCACTCAGAGAGTAAGTGGTATTAGAAAAGCTGGTTAAGCTGTATTGGCCTCAGGTTCTTGAATATTAAAGTACAGGTACTGAACACCGATCATATCTCAAGTGGAACAATTAGGAAGACAAAAGAGGTGATAGACATAGAGCCCCCTGTGCTTACATAATAAACGATGAACACAGTGCTTTAGATATTGTCATCATTCCTTATCCATCGTCCTCATCTGCCTCAACCTAAGTCATACCCTAGGACTAATGAAGAACTGCTTGAAATTTACCAAAATGTCCCTGGCTTCTAAGGACTCCAGGTCTCTACACTTGCTTTAGCTGCTCAAAGTGCTGTTGTAGGAGGAGGCAGGACTGCCTGCTGGTGTGGCTCCAGCTGATGGAGCAGGCCCACCAGCTCCTACATCCATGATCGTCACCTTGTTGTGGAGGATGAGGGTGGTGTACATGCAAGAGAGCTCAGAGCTTCTCCTCAGCTGGGGCAGCAGCAGTGAACACTACTTGGCCTATTATCTCTAGCTTCTTATTAGCTAACTCTTACATATTAATTTAACCCATTTCTATTATTCTGTGTATTGTCATGTGACTGTGGCTTACCAGCTAAAGTTCTGGCGTCTGTCTATGGCAGCAGGGCTACATGGCTTCTCTCTGACTCCTCCCTTCTTTTTCTCAGCATTTAGTTTAGTTCGCCCCCACACACACACACCTAGCCTAGCTCTGTTCCCCTATAGCTCTTCTATAGGCCCAAAGCAGTTCCTTTATTAACCAATGGTAATCACAGCATACAGAGGGGAATCCCACATCAGAGTGTCCGCCAAGACTCAACTCCATCCTGTTCTCCCTGAT